AGTTATTCAATACTGAAAAGTGAATAAAAAATATTTCACATCATTCAATGCAGCGCTTAAAATTGTTGATGAATTCTTACACGAATTACTTCAACCACTTAACTTTGACAATACCTTGTAACATTCATAACAAATGTTCAAAATCATAATCATTATTTTCGGAACAAAGATATCCTTCTCTCACAGTTGCTTCTAAGACATTACTAAGCATTTCTGGGGTTATTTTATTGAATGCTTCGATGACACTGTCCCTTAGTTCTTCTTCATCATCAAAGCTATTTGCGTGTACAAAGTTTTTGATAAATCCCCTAAAAAAATCCAGCTGTGTCAAATCAGGTGACCCCGCTGGCCAAGGAACTGCAGAATGAGTACCAATCCAGTTTTCTGGATAATAACGCACGAACTTCTCTGGAATTATGTACCGGAGCGCCATCTTGTTGAAACCAACAGTTCTGACCTTCCGCAATCGGTAAATCATCCAGAGCTTCCTCAAGATGATTCTCAAGCAAATTTCTATAACGTTAGGAAGTCTGTGTTTCATGGTGAATAAAAGGACCAATAATTCGTGTACCAAATATTGCAACCCACACGCTGTAATGTATAAATGTTCATTTTCTTTCTCGTGAACAATAATGTGTATTTTTTCTATCGAAGATACCATGATTAGTGACCATGCTTTCATCAGTTCAGATGATTGTTCGCGGAAAATCTGTAAAATTTTGACATTCTCTTGTATACCACTCACAGAATGTCCTGCGCCTTTCGTAATCGCCTGGTTTTAGCGCTTGACATATTTTGAATTTGTATGGATGGAATTTTTGTTTCCGCAAAATGAAATGGGTTGTTGATTGAAACCAGTTGATGAGGTATTAGTGTGTTGACTAATTTTCCTTCAAAATAAGTGGAACATGGTATTTTTCCTTTGGAATTTCGAAAAAACATTGATGATGGTTAAAAATAGGTCGAAACACACATAAACCACCTTGTATAATACATGGTTGAATTCAGAATAAAAAAACCTTACAGAATCTGTGAAAAAATTATCAGGACCGTATTTAAAAAACAAAAGTTGATGATGGTTCTACGAATACGAAACGTCGCATAGAAAAATTGGTATCACCACGTTAAACGTCATCAAAAGTTGCTATGAATAAGTATTTTAAGTTTTTCTGTATCTCTAATAATAACGGAGAAAAAAAATAAAAGAGATATTCCAAAAATTCACTTTTTTCGATATAACTAAAAAACTAAAAATAATTTTGAAAATTTTCGAAGGCTCTTGATATGAGCCTCCGAATGCGCAACTTTTTCCCCATTTAACCGACTTCGTATCTCCAACCGTTTTCGAGATCCCCATGCTGTTCAACCTCATCTTGGACATACTGTATATCTTGATTTCCTAAAAATCAGGTATGTTAGGTACCATCTCTTTTATTAGTCGTTGAATTCCTCGAGATAGATTTTGTGGATGAAACAAAAATTTTGAAGTGCCTACCATAAATATTTCGCTCAAATGAATCATACAGTGATATAATGTTATTTTTGTTCAAGCAATTTGTGTCACACATTTAGAAGACTGTAGATACCCTTGCCACTTTTGGGTAATTGGATTGTTTTGAGGTTATATTTGGTGTTGGATCGGTCGGTCCTAGTCTTCAATAAAAAATTTTACCATTTGGAGATCGGTAAATGCGGCCATCAATTATAAACCCTGCGGTCAAAGTGTGGTCCAAGTGGTCACAACCGGTCGGCAATCAAATACTCTCTCACATATTCTTCGAAATTAATTTCTGACCTAGAGTTTTTCTGAATACAGTGATGTACTAAGACATGTTGGCTTTTGGAGAAAACTAGTTGAATAAACGCTCAGTTGACAAGAAATTGATATTTTCATTAATTTTCGAGAAATACCATTGAATGTGCCCTAAATGTTATTTCAACACTGCATGTGAATTTAGAATGTGCTGTGAAGAAAATTAAAAATGACAAAATATGGAAAGATGATCTTTTCATATTTACTTAATGTGTCCTTATAAATAAAACGGAACATAATTAGTGAGAAAATTCCATTAAGTTGAACATTATTTCTGACTATTCCACTCTTGATCTCGAGAACCAATCAGAATAGACCATTTTCATGGTTTCTTCTGTATTCTAGCGATATTTTTTGTTTATTAAATTTTATCGGACTTGCTCTACCAATACAGAAGCCGAATTGACCCACACGTGACCAAAAGATTGCTTTGGATTCAAACCTAAGTTCCTACTTCATTTTATTTACTTATAATTCGCGTTAGTGAGATATTTTGTACGAAAGGCGAGACAATTTTATTCTGGCTGGACGTTTCATGTGTAATTTAAAAAGTTTGCCCATTTGTTGACGGTCTGACACAACAATAATAGAATTCAAATTCCTTTTTGAAGTAATCTTCTTCAATTACTCAAGTTATTGTGACTGACTGATATAATTACTAGCTGATGTAGCGCAACTGTTAGGGTTGTTGCGCGAGGATACGAAGGTCGATGGTTCGAGCCCTCGGCGACGATATCTTTTCTTTTCATTATTCCATGTCACATAAATTCAATTTATTTTGTTTGAATTGGATAGTAATTGTATACACTCTTTTGGAAGCAACCATCTCCAAGATAATAAAGAAAATACTGTTTATCAAAATTGTTTGTACATTCCACTTTGTGAATAACTATAAGTAGGTAGTTAATTTCTAAAAGAGTAAATTCTGTATTTCATTACTATCATTATGTTCTTCTTCGCAGTTCGAGTTGGAATATACTTAAATTATGTTTCCTATTTCTTATATACAGGGTGTTTCAGATTTAAATGTACATACGATACCTGTAGATGGAGGACACTTCGGTGGTTCCAAATCACCCCCCATCGATATGTCTACCGTCTTTTATAACTGAGATACAGGACGTTATCTTGATTTTGTCAAAATCTTCATCTGGTTATAACTTTCGAACCACTTTGTATAATTTATACATACTTGGTAGGAATATTCCACTTATATTACCCATCAAAACCATATAAAAATCCGGATCAGAATCCAGGTCCGTCTTGAGGAAAAACAGAAAACTTCTTTTATCTCAAAAACAACACCTTGTATGGCAAAATTTTGTAGGTCTGTTTTGATATTTGGAAAGAGTGGGAAAAAATGAGATAAGTGGCCTACTTTTTACGAGTGAGCATCTAATTTGACAGATTTTTTATTATCAAGTTTTGAAATATTCAGCTCCATTTCGAGGCATTTTTATTGAACTTATAATTCAAAATCCAATTTTAATACAAAAAAATAACAGTCTTCAAAGTTCAACATCGATAGAGTCAAATTAGGTGAACTATCGATAGATTTGTTGTGACAGAATCACTTGTCTATGGTATCATACATTTTTGAGGGCTCATTTTATTCTCCACTATTAATTCACGAGCTGCGGTTAAGTAGGCTGTGCGAAAAAATCTGATATTCTGACAGGTCATAATCACTAGTGTGATATTATTGGTAATGTTGAGATAATTATTTCTGGTGATTGTATTGGGTTTTTACATTTCAAAGTGTTCATAATTGTGCCTACAATAACTTCACCAATAATATCGCAACTATAGTGATTATGAACTGTCAGAATTTTCATTTTTTCTTCACAGCCTACTTTACCGCAGCTTATGAATAAATAGTAGAGTATAAAATTAGTCCTCGAGAGTTTTTAAAAACATCGACGAATTATTCTGTCAAACAAACAAATTCATCGACAGTTCACCTAATTCGACTCTGATGATGTTGAACTTTGGAGACTGTTATTTTTCTGTATAAAAATTGGGTTTTGAATTATGAGTTCAATAAAAATGCCTCGAAATGGAGCTGAATATTTCAAAACATGATAATAAACCATCTTTCAAATTGGATGCGCACTCGTAAAAAGTAGGTCACTTCATTCATTTTTTTCCGCTCTTTCCAAATATCGAAACCGATCAATAAAATTTTGCCGTACAGAGTGTTGTTTTTGAGATGAGAGAAGTTTTCTGTTTTTCCTCAAGACGGACCTGGATTTTAATCAGGATTTTCATTTGGTTTTGATGGATAATATAAGTGAATTATTTCTACAAAGTATGGATGGATTATACAAAGTGGTTCAGAAGTTATAACCAGATGAAGATTTTGCCAATATCAAGATAACGTCCTGTATCTCAGTTATCAAAGACGGTAGACATATCGATGGGGGGTGATTTGGAACCACCGAAGTGTCCTCTATCTACAGGTATCGTATGTACATTTAAGTCTGAAACACCCTGTATATTGTCTCATTCAATCATGAAATAGTCATACAATACAACTCGTGATACTATTTTTCCTGGAAATATTCGTCGATTGACATACTCCAGCTTGCTGCTCTAACTTCGTGAATGACATTGTTATCAAAACTACGAGCCGTAGGCAACAAGCTGTGGTAGCAATCACCGAATATTTCCGGCAAAATATTATCACTTGTGGTATTATATATGACAATATCGAAATCCGAAGACGAAAATTTTATGGATTCTGGCTAAATTCATTACAATATTTCAGTACAAAAGGATAGAATCAAAGATTGAATCAGTCTTAAAGTAGTCTTGAATTAGTATTAAAGCAGTATTGAAGTGAGTTGTGATCAGTCTTTGGACTGAGTCCAATACGATTTCTCGATCTGCAATCTGTTAGTAAAGAGTTTTACCAATGAGACTCTGAAATAATATTGGATTCAATTCATTCGATCCATGAAAGTCTTGAATCAATTCTCATCAATTCTCGAATTACCTCCGAAGTGTCTCCGTTCTGTTCGTAAAAGAGCGAAAAAAGAGACACCAGTCATTTGCAAACAAAAAGAATGTTGTATCTGAATAATCTGGAGACGCCTCTTGTGCCTGCAAAGTTGGTGTTTCCAGGCGTGTTATGTAAACTACTATCAAAAATGTCATCAATAAATATGAAACTACAGTGTATTCTTACCTGTCACCACAATATAATGGATATTGAAGACATTCAAGACACCTTTCGTGAAACCACTGTCTACACCTTCCACATTGTAACATCTGTTTGTACCACTCTCCATTACTACCACAATAACAGTAAATTTGCTCACTATTAACTCTATGATATGTATCCCAATTCAATGAATTCAACTAAAACAAATAAATAGACATAATCTCGTTTTAATACTAAATCTATTTGCAAATTGAAAAAAAATAAATTGAACGGTTTTTCAATAAGAATGTATTTTAGGATTTCAAAATGACATGGCAAAAAAAGGTTATAACACTAGATGTTTAATGTTTATCCTTTAAGTAAGAGTTAGTTTACTTCCGATGAATTCTCATAACACTCGTATAGTATATTACTTCCACTGTCTCTATAATTAACCCTACAGTACTCGCGTGCACATTTCTTACATGAGTACTCGAGTGGAATACACTCTGATACCCCAATCTTAAATAAATTAATAAATTATATACATTACAAAAATAAATCTGCGTATTGGAATCATCAAAACTTATTTATTGAAGCCACTCACAATAAAAGTCATCATATTTATACCTGAATGAGAATATAGAATATTGAAATGAGCATTGCTCCTAATCGCTGCTGCCTTCTATTCGTTTGATGACTCCTATTTATCCAACTTTTGCATTTCAAACAGGTAACTGGTATTTTTTTGGTCAGTTTTCCTCAGACATAGGTATCATCTTCCTTTATCAAGTCTCGATCTCTTCGCAACTTGACCAGCCTCTATATCTTTTGTTTCTCTTGAGGATGAAGGTTCTTCCACATTTAGAATAAATCATTCGATGTCTTATTATCTTAGGGACATTTTGTACATGCGCAAAAACGGTTTCTAACATTCTTCGATGAAAGTGGAAAACACCTAATGAATGTGTTAGCGTCCCGTGCATTTCTTTTGGCGCCTGACTCTTTCAACACAATATTATGTGCTCTCGTTCTGGATGTAGGAAGCTTCATTTTATGCAACCTGTGTTTTTTTAACTATCCCCAAAAGTACTGCTTCAACTTTTCATAAGAGCATAAATACTCACGAGTACTCGCACGGGGTATTTGATTCAACTTCAATGTCGTTTTTCACGGAAGCATCCCACGATGCCCAATTCCCACGATGCCCAATTAATACGATGCCCACCTTCATGTCGACGATTACGAAAATTGCCGAAGAGCGCAACGTTGCCAGGTCAAGAGAAAAATTCAGGAAACACAAGATTCCCACCATGCCCACTAATCATATATTCCCACGATGCCCAATTCCCACCATGCCCACCTTCTTTAGATTCCCACCATGCCCACTTTTCATACATTCCCACGATGCCCAATTCCCACCATGCCCACTTTTCATACATTCCCACGATGCCCAATTCCCACCATGCCCACCTTTCATGCATTCCCACGATGCCCAATTCCCACCATGCCCACCTTTCATGCATTCCCACGATGCCCAATTCCCACCATGCCCACTTTCTTCAGATTCCCACCATGCCCACCTTCTTCAGATTCCCACCATGCCCACCTTCTTCAGATTCCCACCATGCCTACTTTTCATACATTCCCACGATGCCCAATTCCCACCATGCCCACCTTCATTATGGTGGAAATCCAAAGAAGGTGGGCATGGTGGGAATTGGGCATCGTGGGAATGCATGAAAGGTGGGCATGGTGGGAATCTGAAGAAGGTGGGCATGGTGGGAATTGGGCATCGTGGGAATGTATGAAAAGTGGGCATGGTGGGAATCATGTGTTTTCTGATTTTTTCTCTCGACCTGGCAACGTTGCGCACTTCGGCAATCTTCGTAATTGTCGACATGAAGGTGGGCATCGTAGGAATTGGGCATCGTGGGAATTGGGCATCGTGGGAATTGGGCATCGTGGGAATGCATGAAAGGTGGGCATGGTGGGAATCTGAAGAAGGTGGGCAAGGTGGGAATTGGGCATCGTGGGAATGTATTAAAAGTGGGCATGGTGGGAATCATGTGTTTTCTGATTTTTTCTCTCGACCTGGCAACGTTGCGCACTTCGGCAATCTTCGTAATTGTCGACATGAAGGTGGGCATCGTAGGAATTGGGCATCGTGGGAATTGGGCATCGTGGGAATTGGGCATCGTGGGAATGCATGAAAGGTGGGCATGGAGAGAATCTGAAGAAGGTGGGCATGGTGGGAATTGGGCATCGTGGGAATGTATGAAAAGTGGGCATGGTGGGAATCATGTGTTTTCTGATTTTTTTCTCTCGACCTGGCAACGTTGCGCTCTTCGGCAATCTTCGTAATTGTCGACATGAAGGTGGGCATCGTAGGAATTGGGCATCGTGGGAATTGGGCATCGTGGGAATTGGGCATCGCGCTACGCACCCGTTTTTCACACATATTCGCGATTCAATAACAACCACACGCTAGCAAACACATCTCAATACTATGCTTGAAGAATACATGGAGTGGCAGAAGACTTAGGGTTATTACCACTATCAATATATACAATAGAATATGACATATGACTTCTGGTGTATTAAGGTACCCCGCGCGAGTACTGAAGGGCTAATATTGAGGTTTCAGATGAATGCTATATTTGAAATACAGCAATTTATAAATTTCAAGATGGTCAACTTCGAAGTATCATCTAGATTCTCTAACTTTTATATCAGAATAATATTTTTTTTTAGTTTTCGTCTCTAATTTTATAAAAACCAGATGCATTTCGAAACAGCGGATCGTCATGAAGATACGCTCTTTCCATTTTGGTTGGTTACATCAAACTGTCAGAAAAGGAAACGGAACGTTCTTCATCTAAAATAAAAATTAATGATACTATAACAACAAAAATTTCTGAACGATGAAACTTGAGGACCTTAAAATTCTGCAGACCTACTGTCCAAGGGGACGAGGAGAAGAATGGGACAGAGAAAAGAAAAATAATGATTCTTAAAAGTAATTCAAAATGCTTGAAAATACGATTTCAAGATTGGACAATCTAGTTTTTTTTTATGTTCTGGTTCCCAAGAAAAGGGATATCCTGTAATGTTCAGACAACATCGTGAGAACCAAGGGAAATAAGGTAGGAAGTGGTGTTCTTCTTGAATTTCTGGAGGTCATATGCCTCGGGAAACACGTCCCTTGGCAATGTGTTCCAGAGCCTCGCTGTTCGTTGGATGAACGAGTCTTTGGAAAGAGATGCTCTGCAACAGTAAGGGGTGCGAAGTGGTGAGGATGAAAGTCAAATGGCTTGCTATTTATTTATGATGAATCGTTCAAAAGGTGAGCAAAGCGAATACAATCAAACGCGTCGTGACCATAGACAACACTACAAAAGTCTATTCCGGTAAGATGGTTATTACATTCAAAACGATCTAATTAAACTTAATAATTGGTTGGTCTCTCATAGGTTGACACCAAATGTTGAGAAATCATCATATATGTTCATAGGTAGGACAATAATGAATGTGAATAACTGTATTGCAGTGCCATTTGGGAACGATAATCTCTTATATAAAAAAGAAGCGAAATATTTAGGTATCATTATAGATGAAACATCATCCTGGACAGGACACATAAAAATAGTAAAAAAGAAGATTGAAGTACTGTATAGGATAGCAAGTTACATATCTCTGAGCGTTAGGAATATGCTCTACTATTCGCATATATATAGCCATCTTCAATATTTAATATCGGTATGGGGCACCGCCAATGTCAAGATCCTGAATCCAGTGAAAATTCTACAGAACAGAGCTATCAAAAATGAACACATCTTGCCTTACACCAATGATTTGTACACTGTTCGAGAATTTCTCACCTTATATAACATATACAGGTACAAAATAGCTTTAGATATTCATTACATAGCCTCAAAAGAAAAACACTCTGTAACAATACTAAAAAATGTATCGGAAATCCATGGGTATGAGACCAGACAACAACAGAATTTGTATTTATCGAAAATGTATCCAAATGTTGGCCAAAAATCACTATGTGATTGTTTCAACTCGTTATAACAGGAATCCAACAAACTAGTTGAATTCAATGCCACCAAAACTCAAGCCTATATTTTCACGAGGAAGGTGGAACTCAATATGCCTCATACAACAACTGGTGCCACCATTCCCACAAAGACCATTATATATATGCTCGATATTTCCATCAGCAATATGTTTTCATCGGCAAATCATGTCCGATCCATCGCGTAAGCTGCTTCACAAGAACTCATATTTTAATTACGTGCGAAAATCTACTTTACACCTCAACAGCTTCTCATAATCCATAAAGCACATATATGGTCAGTTCTTGAATACTGATCTCACATATGGGGTTCAGCGCCCAAATATATGCTGATGCTCTTAGATTCCATCCAGAGAAGAGCCATTCGCCTGGTGGGTATTGCCACACTCACTTATCCTTTGGCATCATTGGAACACCGTAGAAAAGTCGGCGATCTTCCACTTTTATATAGATACATCCAAGGGAAATGCTCCTCAGAAATCTCCGCTGTCAATCCATCACCACCAAAACCAGTCAGACGAACTCGACAGGCCCTGACAGCACATCCTTTTTTTGTCAACCTTGAAGTATGTTGAACACTTTGCCAAAACTCGTTCATAGAACGAAAAGACGTTTGGAATTCTTTGCCAATAGAAGTATTCCCAAGAACTTAAAACCTCCAAAAATTCAAGAACAAATCCAACACCTACCTCCTCTCCCTATCCTCCCTAGGAACGCACGATGTTATTCGATCATCATAGGAATTTTCTATCGTGGGCTCCAAGAGAAAAAAATCTTTGGTAGAAGTCTATCGTTTGTCAAAGTGGAGTAAAGTAAGGGCATATTCCTTGAACAATTTCGAAAAGTGCCGCATACACTTATGTCCTAAACTCTATAGTTGAGGAGTAATGTGCAATATTAAATTCAACAGAGTGTGTAATGAAGCAAAAAGAATAAAGTGATATTATATTTTATCAATTCAGAATTTCATGATTACTTACAGGAATTTATTCAAGGTTTTGTTCAAAAATTGCTGATACATTAATTGTGTCGTGGGAATGGAAAACGTTTGGTTACATCCTAATAATAATTGATGTAATAAAAAGAGGGGTTTCATTAATCAAAACCAGAGGGAAACTCAACAAACCCCAAATC